AGGTTGAGAAACACTGTCCTACCCACTGCTGGGGTATTCTGGGATTTGAAGTACAGACATCTTCAAGTTGACAAGGTTGAGAAACACTGTCCTACCCACTGCTGGGGTATTCTGGGATTTGAAGTACAGACATCTTCGAGTTGACAAGGTTGAGAAACACTGTCCTAACCACTGCTGGGGAATTCTGGGAGTTGAAGTCCAGACATCTTCAAGTTGCCAAGGTTGAAAAACACTGATCTACACCATTATTAAAAATACGCACAACAAGATAACATAAAAAGTGTCCTTCAGCCCCTTCAGGTTGTCTTCCCTGGAAACATCAAGATCAGCCTTCCTTCCCCAACCCAACACTGGCCAAAGTGCCCAGTTGGCATATCCGAAGAATGCCAGAACAACCCAACAGCTCAACAATGAAGGCCAAACAATTTCACCAGAGAGGGGTGGACTTTAGAGCCGCCTCCTCCTCCTCCCTCCTGCCCACAGGGACATCCCATAACAGAGGCTGCTTGGAAGCCCCAAGGCCAGGTGTAAACGTATGCCTGCCCTTCCCTGAGCCACTACAGGAAACGTGAAATAGCAGCATTTTAAAACAAAACACCCAATGCCTCTTTTTAAAAAGTTGGTGGCCCTTTTCCGCCCAGGTTATTTGCCCCCATTGGCCTCACCTGAAGGTAACTGTTTCCTGCAGGGTCATCCAGAACAAGATGCACCTTCATCTCCCCATCTACGATCTGGCAGAAAAAGAAAAGAGACGCTCTCTCCATCTGACCACAGAAAGCATCACCCGCAAAACGCAAGGCTCACCGTCCCTCCAGCAAAGGGTCTGCAGGGGGCTGGCGCTGTTAGCACGAGGGGCATGCAAAGGCGGCCTTACCTGCTGGAGCTTCTTCCCAAACGCGTGCAGCTTTGCTGCTTTGCCAGGGCAAGAGGCGTCCCCCAGGGTGAAGGGGTTCTTCTCCACCTGCGGGGGAGACGGCTGGGGGTTAGGCCCAAGGCAGAGGCAACGCCTCCAAGTCCCGCTCTCCCAGGTCACCCTAAGGCAGCAGCTCTCTGATCAGCAGAGCCGGGCTCCCCCCAAGACCAGTGCTCTGCCTTCCGCCCAGATGCCGCAAGTCAAAAGGCGGGAGCAGCTCAGCCCAAGGCTCCCACACTCCCCCCCCCCCTCTAGTTCAGGTGATCTCCAGTTCCTTCGTTGGAAGAAATGTGGCACTACGGGACAGACCTCCAATTCTCGCTCAGATTCACTCACCAGAGCCTGGATGTCCTTCATCAACCCTTCTAGAGTGGTGAATTTTCCACCCAGAGCTCCCATTCCTATCTCGAACTCCAGCTCTGGAATCTCTATCCTGCAGGTTTCCGACTGCAAAAGAGAGAGAGAACCCCATTTGTTCCGGGAAAGGCCGGCTGCAGCCTTCACAGAAAGTGCAACTGTCAGAATGGAAGGAAGGAAGGGTCACCTTTAGAACGTCCCTCATCATGTCTGCAGAGCCCGTCACATGAAGGGTTATCTTGGTGCCCAAAGGCTCGATGCCTCCCCCGGATTTTACCTAAGGCAATAAAAGGGGGGGGGGTGTCTTAAGTGGTAACACGGAGCAGAGCCTCGATGCCCCCCCCTGCCAGAACGAAAAGACCCACCTCGTTTGTTCTGTGCCCACAGGCATCGCAGTTTGTAGCCATGATGATGACTTCCTTGAAATGGGGAATCTCTGAGGAGAAGCAGTAAAGAAAAACTCCACCATGCAGACCCATCAGCCCTCTTGCTCCAGTCCCCACGCGTTTCCTTGGGGGCAGGGGAGGAGCCCGGTTGGCCCTCTCTGCCCTCCAGGAGCCAGCGCCCACGCCAGGGCCATGGATAGGGCTGGCAGAGGCAAGCCCCCACAGGCTCAAAGGATACGCACCAGCTTCATGTTTGTGCTGGCGGGAGCGTTGCATTCGGGGCAGTTGGTGTTGAACTGCAGTACCTGGCAGAAGAGAAGCCACCATGAGGCCCCTCCGCTCCCGACTGGACAGGCACCAGACCGAAGGGGAACCCTGCCCCCCAACTGCCAGCCCCTGCCCCACCCGCTCACCTCGTTCCTCAGGTCCTCTGCAGGGTCGGCTGGATCCTCCTCCAAGCCCTCTTCCTGAAAGGGGTGGGGGGGAGAACGGAGGGGTCCGTAAGCGTTTGGCATGCAGACCCTCAGGGCTTGCAAGAGGGCTCCGAGGCCACAGGAACGGCGGGGGGCCCAGGCAAGACCTGTCCAAGCCCTCCCTGTTTACCTCTAGTCCAAGCAGAGCTGCTTGCTCGGCTGTCCTCCTGTAGTGGGTGACCTCCAGGGCCTCGTCCTTCTGCGGCGCATGAGGGTTCTCCACAAAACTGTTTCCCGAAGGATCATCAAGAATCTGGAGGGGGAAAGAGGTGCCACCAAAATCACTCTTTTGCCGGCATTAACATCGCCTGCAGGTGGAGGCAGCTCTCAGCCCCCCAAGGAAACTTACAAATGTGAAAGCCGACTCCGCTTCCTTCAGGCCTTTCAACTTGGAGATGAATTCGTCGATTTTTCCTGCCACTTCAGTGTCCATTTTCTACGGCCCAAAAGCAGAAACAGCTGGTTGCTTTCCCAGAGGAAGCAGCACACAGAGACACAGAGGGGCAGCCCCCTTCTAGGCCCCCAGCAGGGGCTGTTCCTCCAGAAAGGCCATGCCACAGGAAGAACCTTAAGCCACCAGTCAAACCAGCAGGCCTGGCTTGTTCCTTTTCTGGCCCAGCCGACTGCACTCTCTCCCCACCAAATAAAGACAAAGCCCAGCCTGGACCACACGCAGTTTCACCGTGAAGTATTTCAGGTGCCNCACATGGCCGGCAAGCCACTCCCACAAAGGAGGCCACACCCACAGAGTAGGTTCCAAAAAAATTTGAAACCCACCACTGAACTGGAGGCACACATAAATCATTCAAGTCATTGATTGATAAGAACCCTTTAGGAGTTTAGGCAGAATTTTTCTCCAGCCCAACTTGGAGATGTTGGGGACTAAGTCCAAGTTCTTCTGTGTGCCAAGACTGTGCTCCAGCATGGATTCATACCAGACCTGAGCAAAAAAGAAAGGCAAAGGTCAGAGGAAAATCTCATTTTTACTGGGGATACCCCTGACATTGAATACTAAAGGCAACATCTGGAGCTATCCCAGCTTACAAGACTCTGAAGAATCATTCCTAAAGGACCAAATATCTGGCTCAAACATTACAGCTCAAATGTAACATTGATCCCAAGCCCACTTTCGGTTGGAAGGCTATGCTCCTCTCCTGGTATGCAACCACCCAGTTCTAGGCAGGCTTAGAAGCTTCCCCTTGCCAGTGAACATTATTAATATTTTCAGCACAATGTAATGTTTTCAACTCCATACATATTTTCCTTTTCAACAAATACAGAGGCAAAGAACACTTGTGAGCAGAAATGGGCACCCGCTGGTTCTCTCCACAAAGCTTTTTGTTTACTTTTTCTCCAGCCAAATTCTGAGACCAAAAAATAAACTTGGAGTTGAAACTGGGCTGCATAAGCCAAATAACCTGAGGGTAAGAATTGCAGGGGGAGTTGGGTGAAGAAAACATCCTGATAAAGTTGGGCTGGTTTTGTGCCCTTTTTAAAATCTAATCAAGTTATTTATCTCCAGTTGGTCACCTAAATAAGTTCAGCTAATTTATTTATTTATCAAATTTAGACACTGCCCATCTCACTCTCAGAATAATTCCGGGATGTTTAAAACAAATACAAGCAGTATGTTTCCTTTCAGATGTTTGAGCTATGGCTGCATTGACTACTCATCAATGCTGACAGAGATTCATGGGAACCATAATCCAAAATACCTGGATGACACAAATTTGCTTATTACTGTACTAGAATCATCATAGACTCGTTTTCCTGTTACAGTTGAAAATGCACCTCCATAGGTATCTTTCCTTTTACACAAATATATAAGACACACCTGGTATAGGATTTTTCTGGACAAAAACCACACAAATATCAAAAAACGAGGAAAGGTGGCATTTGACCAACTAAATACATTACCATAATGGACTTCAATCCACCCATTCACCCCTATGTAGATTCTCCAGAGTGAAAATAGAGATTCCCAGGAGACTTGAGAACATGACAAGGAGAAGACAAAGCCTTTCATCTCATCCCCAGAGATGCTCAGAGGAAGATTTCAAAGGAAAGGTCTTTCCTCTCAAGCTCTGAGGATTAGTTGGCTACTGCCTTTTATAGTAATTTTCCAGATCCTAGAAAGAGGAATATTTGGTAGGATTAAGTAACTCCACACCCCCTAGGTTTCCTATTCAGGTTTATCTGATGAAGACAAACCTCAAAGAAGAGGAGCTGCAATGATGATAGACAAGTAAGAGGTGTCCCAGGACAAAAGGCCGCCATGGCAACCTATTTTCCCCCAGCCACATCCTTAAGATAATGTCCTCAGGTAGAACTTTACACCAACTCCCCCAAATGCATCTTCCATCTATGAACAGGGTGCTGGCCCATGATCAGTTCTAAGCATGCTAGCTACCAAGGGGCCTGCCTGCTATTAAAAGGAGAACAATTATGCAAACATGGTTACTTCTTACTCAACCTACTAGATCTGCATTTCACTGAAGAAGAGGAAGAATATAGTCCTGCGGTTATGCAGGGAATTGGGGCCCTAAAAATCTGAGTTTAGTTCCTGCTTGCCACTGGGATCCTTAGGAATAGTGTAATTCCATCCATGTTTTACATAATGTAAACATGGTTTAAAACTCTGTCTACAATTTAGCCAAATGGGTAGAACAAATATGCAATCTCATTTATTGTATGGCTTATTAAACTAGTGGTTCCTTTGCATTCAGATTAGAGGGTCCTCAAAAGTGATAGCATGTTTTTAGGGGGGGAACCCCATGATTAATCCTTGAGAATACCTATTTTAAGTCACATGCAACAATTTGAACCTTACATAGTTTTGTTGACAAGATAAATTAAGCATGTCAAGGATCTTTTCACCTACCCTCTGGCCAACCACAGCCTATCTTGTCTGAATCATGTCTGAAATTATCAAGCAAGTATCCAGCTTAGGAAAGGAATCAAAATGAAACAACCAAATTGTTCCAAATCTCAGATCCGAGTGTCTCGGGGAACAGCAGAGTAAACATTTTTTTTTAAAAGACTCCTGTTTCATTGTCAATCCAATCTGAAAGGGCAGTCAGTGCAATAAGCCACGTGTTGAAATAATTGAGGAGGATGCAGAAAATGGCTAGAGATCAAACATCCCCTTTTTAAGCCGTGTGTGGAGAGAAAGATTTAGAAAGACACTATGCTGCCTCTGACCATGTTACCTTGTTCTCCATCTTCACTGATGAAGAATAGATGGCTTGAATGAATACAGGTTGAATTCTCCATGTATTTAAGATAACTCTACTATAATGGTTCCATAGCAGGTCTTGTAGATTCAATCTTAAGTATACACTTCCATAAAAAAAGAAAACAACCCCAAGTGTCGAACATAATAGCTTTCACTTTGCTGTTGTAACCAATATGTGATAATGACTCCTAGTTTCACATCACAAGGTCTAGTTCAGTGAGCACGACACACACCTATAGTTCCTTTTGGAAAAAGAGGACTGTATAGGCTACTTTAATGTGTATTAAATACATAATATGTAAGACATTCCTTAGTGTCTTCCAGTTAAGCTGAAATACATTGGATAGAAAGTTCTTTGGCACAGAAGTAATATATGTGAAGTAAGTGTGCAATAATGATTGAGAACCAAACAACAAAATGAAACAAAACGTTAGTCAATAAGGATGCCTGAAGTTCATATCAGTTCCTTCATAAACTGTCCCATCTCTCTAGATTTATTTGCACATTTTTTTAAAAAGCGGAAGGAACATTACATTAAGATATATGATTTTCAAGGGATTTCTAAACGTATTCAGTATTTCAGAACATATTTTCTGTTAAAGTACGCCTAAAGTAAAGTATATTTTACCTTAAAATGCACAATTTATGTATCTTTCAGTAGATTCTCTGAGCAGGGAACTGCATCACATAATTAAGAGAAACATGCTTTCAGAAAGCTGTCCCAAGGCTGCTTTTTCAGGAGGCAACTGGACTTTCTTTTTTCCCCCCCTCTTTTGAAGACCTTTCACTTCTCATTCAAGAAACTTCTTCAGCTCTGACAGGATAGTGGGGAGCTGAAGAAGCTTCTTGGATGAGAAGCAAAACGTCTTCAAAAGAAAAAAAAAAGCCAGTTGCCTCCTGAAAAAGCAGCCTTGGGACAGCTTTCTGAAAGCATGTTTCTCTTAATTATGTGATGCAGTTCCCTGCTCAGAGAATCTACT